GACTGAACATCTACACTACATGAGCTGCTGTTTACATGTGAACATTAGCTCATGACGATACCTAAGTACGTGTGTCGCCTGGACAGTCAACCTCGCTACATCCTTGTTGACTGGACATCTACACTACATGAGCTGCTGTTTACATGTGAACATTAGCTCATGACGATACCTAAGTACGTGTGTCGCCTGGACAGTCAACCTCGCTACATCCTTGTTGACTGGACATCTATACTACATGAGCTGCTGTTTACATGTGAACATTAGCTCATGACGATACCTAAGTACGTGTGTCGCCTGGACAGTCAACCTCGCTACATCCTTGTTGACTGGACATCTACACTACATGAGCTGCTGTTTACATGTGAACATTAGCTCATGACGATACCTAAGTACGTGTGTCGCCTGGACAGTCAACCTCGCTACATCCTTGTTGACTGGACATCTACACTACATGAGCTGCATTTGCATTTTTATTGATCTTATGCTATTCTTGGCATGTTACATGGCACGTGTGTTTTGACTTTCAGGTTGCATAGTGCTGAAAAACACGTGCATCTAATACGAAAAAATATTTTTATAATAGTTTGTGTTTGTTTGTAAGTGGATTTAGTTTAGTCTGGGAGATATTACCTATGCATTTTTTTATGCGGTAGGAAAAGCGGCCGCATTACCTGAAGAGTTACGGGTGCGTTGCCGACCTTTTATGGATTAGGGTTTGGGGATTAAGGGACTGGAGGAGGGTAAAAGTTGGGCCTCTGGTAACACACAAAGCTGTGGTTTTCTGTGAGGCCGTGGTATCATTCCGTTCGAGCCGACCCATTCGTGCCGAAGCATGGCTCTCCCACACTTAAGAGGTATTTGCCATAATCTCTGCGGGCAGACGGTTTGGAGATAGCAGTTAATTCTTTAAATTCGCGAACCTATTGTGTCGATCGAATTACTACTATTAAAAGGTTCAGGTTTATCATAGACTGCTGCTGCGCGGTCTCTGTCTAACGTTTAATATCTCTATTGGGTGTCCAAAACCCGCTGGAAGAAGAAGAGTTGGTGATAAATGTTTTCTACTCGGCATTAAAACAGCCAGACCACACGTTAATTGTGTAATTTTTCAATATCTTTACATAATAGACGCAATGTTTTTGTGAGCGCAGATGTTATCAAAATAAAATTCAATGTAAGAAGTTTTTAAAGACAATAATTTACCTACATTAGAAATACGGAAATAAATTGTAGCGTTACGTGTCTTAAGAGATGTAGAAAAGAGTTTTTTTTTTATGTCGGCAAATTGGTAGATATATTACCTGATGGTACAGTCAGCTCCAAAAGTCGATGAACAGAATCAACTTACCAAAACACCTGTTCACAATAAAACGCCATAAGTTATAGTCGCAACTAGGAAACAAAATAGCCTGTACACCAGAAATTTACAAAAGTCGTTACACACGACTAATTCAAAAGTATCTGTGCACTATAGTATTCCTAAAGTCGCTGTACACCTTCAATCCAAATGTCGCTGAACATCATTGTATCAAAAGTCACTAAACAGCAGTAAAGACAAAATTAGGTTAACAAAGTATATTTTTAATGTTGCCCCGTGTTAATATACTTTTGACGCTTATGTTGTTCAGCTACTTTTGGGACAGTGTTTGCTAGAACTTAATAATGTATGTTAACACGTTAGTATCTACATATTTCAAAACTTATTTACAAATAAATTATATTTTATTGTCAGTAATCATACTAATCTATAATTTATGAAATAACATAAACATAACTCTAATGATCTACGAAGTGATTTTTGTGACGGTACTTGTAATTTACTTTGCGCAAATCTTACAAAACCTACCTTCCTTTAATTTATTATTTTTACCCGACTACGGCAATGCTAAAATTTAAAGAATTCGACATATGACATATCATTAGAAACGTCTTAATTGTCCGCTGGTTATAAGTTATATGATGTATTACAAAATCTAATGCGGCGTCCTCTAGCGTACAAAACAATCAGAGTAAAAAAACTAAAACCCAACTACGACAAACACCGACGCTAAAAAAAACGCTGTTTTCTTTCTTATCTTGTTCGGAGGAAACGTTCGGGTGTCACCTAGCACAGATCGCCCGGAGGACACGGTAGAATATACGGTGGAAGTGTGCCCCGCTTGGGCAGGAAGACAGTATTTCAATAAAATAACTGTTGCTATAATCACTCTTCTTACAACTCTTGATATTACAATCACAACAATTACAATTTACCACTTAGAGGATTCGGTGGAGCATACGGTAGTGGTATGCCCTGCCTGGGCTGAGCATCGCCGTATCCTTAGGGAAGTGATCGGCGGCGGCGACCTCTCGCGCCCGGCCTTAGTCGAGGCCATAGTGCGGAGTGAGAGGAACTGGGACGCCGTCTCCTCCTTTTGTGAAGCAGTCATGCTCGCAAAGAGAGAGGCGGCCCGCGTGAGGGAGCAATCCTCCTCCTCACGCCCCAGCAGCCGCAACTGGCGACCAGAACCAGGCCCGAGCGTACGGCGCGTAGCGTTCCGCGCGCGCCTCAAAGAGCCATTAGACCACCACAGACGGGGCCCTAAAGGGCTGATGTTCAGCCGGGTTTGCGGGGTAAGCGCAATGAGGCACCGCGACCTCGGCACAGAGCAGGAGAAAGAAGAGGGGGGTTTTTAGTCAGTAAGAGTCTGACACTCCCTCCTGCCCGGCCCTGGGCGGGAGAAGTCATTTGATGATTTTCCCCTCACGAAAAAAAAAACAATTACAATTTAACTAAGGATAATTAAGATTAGGTTGAATTTGAACTTTACGTCCACCGAACACGTGGCCACGTGCGTATTCTACGAAGGTCCAACACTAATTGTCCTGTTTTACAAGAAGGCCGCCTCACCAGAGCTCGGTGTTCGCTATGGACTTGAAATAATTATGACAGTTGACAGTGAAGTTTGACATCGACGTATAACAAAGAGGTTTTACATGCACTGATGGCCAGTGCGCCGACATATACTTTGTTAACCTAATTTTGTCTTTACCGCTGTTTAGTGACTTTTGATACAATGATGTTCAGCGACATTTGGATTGATGGTGTACAGCGACTTTAGGAATACTATAGTGCACAGATACTTTTGAATTAGTCGTGTTTAACGACTTTTGTAAATTTCTGATGAACAGGCTATTTTGTTTCCTAGTTATGACTATAACTTTTGGCATTTTATTGTGAACAGGTGTTTTGGAAAGTTGATTCTGTTCATCGACTTTTGGAGCTGACTGTACCTAAGCAATCAGCGCCGCAGATGGACACCCGTAACCTAAGTGTGAGAGAGCCATGCTTCGGCACGAATGGGTCGACTCGATCAAAGTGAGGTTCTCTGTGAGGCCAACTGGTGGTGAAATAAACACAGCGTTGTGTTTTGTCGTGTGAGGTTACAGAAGGTCCAATCCTTCCCATTTCCCCACCCCTTTGCCAAAACCTCACACTTATCCCAAAAAGCCAGGTAACGTACTTACACGTCTTCTGGTGTTGCGGTTGTCCATGGGTGAGGCCGATTGCTTACCATCAGGTCATACATACATATTATCTATCTATCTATCTATATATCTACATCCGCTGGATTATCGCCCAATCACATAAAAAAAATGCCACATTATCATCAGCCTATAAGTGCCCATTGCTGAGCAAAGGCCTCTTCTCACACGGAGAACGTTTGAGCAATTATAAATAAAAAAAAATATCACCACGCTTACTCAAAGCGGATTGTTGATTTCAAATTATAAGTCTAGGCTTCCTCACGATCTTTCCTTCACCGTATGTCAGTGGTGTCTAAATGATCATAGAAAGTACATATAACTCGGGAAAAGTCACATTGGTACTTGCCAGGTTTCGAACCCTCACGCATGAGAAGCTGTAGGCCTTAGGGTTACCGCGAGACGTCCATAGTCCAACAGTGGATTATCGCAGACCCATGATGATGATGATCTAAACTTCAGGTGAATAGCATCCAACCGCTCTTATGCGATGGAAACCACGGTGATGCATTTATGTTTTGTTTTAAAATCGTTTATTTGGAAAAATAACACCAAAACAATACCAGTAAGACTCTATAGATATGAAAATCAAATAACCATCTGTGGTTCTCAAACTACAACGTCATTAAATAATTTTGCTTCTGCACGCTCAACCGGAGTCATATCTTTAGTTTTGTGAGCGAGGTTATCGAAGTACCGTATCGTTAAAGGAGAGCCAAGCTTCGGCACGCATCACCCGGCTCGACCGGAGTGATACCACGGACTCGCAGGAAACAGGCGTGAAAAAATACTTACGTTGTATTTCCTCGTTTGTGTTACTGGATGCCCAAGCCCCTTCTATCGTCTATTCTCCAATCCCTATCGCGAATCCCTAAACTTTCCCCTCCGGTAATCCGTCTGCTCATTTCGGCTTCACAAAATCCGGGGTTGCAGGCCAAGCGCAAAAATGTACCGTGGCCTCGGTCTAGATCAGGAAAAGGATCGGGGTAGTTTTTAGTCAATTAGAGCTTTACACTCCTGAGAATTCATTGAATGGTGTACCTCCTTAAAAAAAACACGAGTCGCCAGTCTGGCTAATGGTTGTACGACTCCCCACTACTTTCCCTTGTTCCGATGAATTTCCCATCTGCTGGCGAACCAATTTGGCGTAAAATTGGTTCGCTAGCAGATGGGAAATTCTGAAAACCTGTACACAAAAGGATTCACTTGAAGATGCGAAATTAAGCAATAATTGCTAATATTGAAATACTGAAATAAACTATAAATATGGCAAGAAAAACCCGGCCCCAGCCTAAAAACATACAGATATTAAAATGACAAAACAAAACTTTGAGAACAACAGAACGAAGATAATGCAAAACGCGTTAGCTTAGTTCACGTAATCACAATGGACAAAGGTAATAAAAAGCATGAGACGAATAGAATCGGCGGTCATAACCAAACCTAGTCTGTAAGACATAAGACTTTAACACATCATGGTGAAAATATACATCGTGACAACCATTGTGTTCCACCTGAGTGCTGGTGAAATTATAAACTTACTTCCATTACCAGAAGAAACGTCTACAACAGGAAACATCGCAGAACTATCACACGATAAGAATTTAACATCGCTTGAATTCGCCAACGTACTCTCAGCTGCTGTTAACTCCATCGCATGGATCCCACAAATAATTGCAAAGAGCATAGGCTATGTGCCTTCTTTAGTCAACTCAAATAACAACGGAGAAAAAGTCGAACAATTCGTAACTGAATTTAAAGATTCTGTGCATAATGAAGACGCTAAGTTGACCATAGAAGAATTGCTTAATAAATACAATTATGCTTGTGAAGTGCATAAAGTTATAACTGAAGATGACTATGTTTTAACACTACATCGAATCCCGAGTAATCGATCTCCAGTTTTCCTGATGCACGGGATCTTGGGGAGTTCAGATGACTTCGTAATAGCTGGAGTGGAATCTGGCCTAGCTTATAAACTAGCTGACTTAGGCTACGATGTTTGGATGGGAAACGCAAGAGGAAACAAGCATTCAAGAAAACACGCATTATTCAATCCGACAGACGAGAGATTCTGGGATTTCTCCTGGCATGAGATTGGTGTTTATGACTTGTCAGCTATGATAGATTATGCCTTGAACATAACTCAGAAATCTTCTTTAAAGTATATCGGGTTTTCGCAAGGAACGACAACTTTCTTCGTCCTGTTGTCTGAAAGACCTGAGTATAACGATAAAATATCAGTAATGATTGCTTTGTCGCCTGTAGCTTACATATCTCGTGCAAAATCGCCGGTCATACGCCTCATGTCGCCTGGGACAACGATCCTATCACAATTCATTAAAAGCCTTGGATTTTATGAATTCCTTCCAGACGATAGCTTGGTGAGGATTCTGAAGCTAATGATTTGCGGTACTGGACCAGTTGGGGACATTTTGTGCAGTAATATAGCGTTTTTGACATCTGGTTATGACTTTGCTCAGCTGAACGTGACTAATTTGCCTGTGATTATGGGTCATATACCAGCTGGGTCTTCGATAAAGCAGCTAGCTCATTATGGCCAGGGGCTTCTGACCAATGATTTCGCGAAGTTTGACTATGGCGAAGAAGATAATATACTACATTACGGAGTATCTACACCCCCTAATTACGCTTTAGAGAATATACTGGTACCAATTGCTATTTTCTATAGCGATTCTGATTGGTTGGCCCATCCTAGTGATGTGAAACGGCTGTATAAAAGATTAAACAGTGTTATAGACTTGTACAGGATACCTTTTAAAAAGTTTAACCACTTGGATTATATCATTGCAAAGAATGTTACGTATTTTGTTTATAACAGAGTTTTTAGACTGTTGGCGTTGAACTAGGTAGTTTTTTGTTATAATTTATTAAGTAAGTACATGAAAGTTTCTTAGTGGTGATTCCTGGATCAGGTAACGATAGATATGCATGTTTATTGTTTTTTAATAATTTATTGAAAATATCGAATCACTCACCTGAATGAACTGAAAACAAGATCAAGTCACAAACATATTCTTATATCTGAGTACCGTGCGCGGCGACCACGTTGTCGTCACATTATAATAGTCTTTTAGAGTTGGTTAAGTAGATAAAAATTATCAACTCGCTTTTCTTTCTGTCTTCAGGAATCTAAAGCTTTCGACGATACATTTTTGAACAATTTGAAAGCTCTTAAACTTTAATTCGATTATGTATTTTTTTCTTATAAGGCAAAATAAAAATAAGTGCTGTAAATATCTTTTCGTTATCTGACTAAATATTTTTTTTATGTTTACCTATCTTGTGTGACATTAGGAAGAATTTCTAATACAAATTATACGCCATTTGTTGCCCAGAATTAAGCCATAGCATAAGAGTTCTATTAGAATCCATCCATTGTACAAACAGACAAACATTCAAATAGATTTTTATTTCAAATATTTTTGTGTCTTTATTACACAGTGTTTTTTATTAAAGCTATAAATTGATTTTGATTAGTTTTTCAAAACTAGGCAGTGAGAGTCTGACACACCCCCGGGCCCTCACCCTTTGCGAAAGAAGCCATGATTGTCACACTCAATAAGATCTGTGTAATTTTGACACAAATTTCCACCAATAAAAAATACCTACCTAAAACCTATATTTTTTATACCGTTTTCTTGACACCTAATTTCGATTTAACATCTAGAGACAATATTTTTCAACAACCAAAAATATAGTACTTAGTAGCTACCTGCCAAATAGGGGTGATGTCTCAGTCAAAAATATTTTTTAAATTCAAAATCTTTATTGCGAACTAAGTGTATAAGTACATATTTTTTTAGATGTTAACAATTACATTACATCAAATCAAATCAAAGAATCCCTAGAAAACAGCTCACAGAATCCCAAACATTTTCCGAAAATGCTTTGGCGGGCTTTTTCCATCTTATAAACGAAACTAAACGGTTCATTGACACGTAAAAGATTAAAGAAAATCATAAAATATTTCTTAGTCTGTCTCCCGAAACGAGATATTTTTCTGTCATGTTTCAAGCGGCAATTATTTTAAATTTATTATTTGATCCGTGTACTAGCGACATAAGCGGCCATCTTAAATCGAGCTGCGCTGTCAAAAATATTTGATTGTCAAAGTGAACGTGTGTGAATGAAATAAAAACATTAAAATAAATAGATTTATTGTTTTCTATGACTTCTAAAGATTATTAATGTCGTTTCGTCTTTGTTTTATTTTTAATTCTATTGTTTTTTTATAGTTCTGTTTGGTTTTTGAACTCAGACGTAGGTATTTACTTTGCCTATTTATTAGTAGGTAGTACCTATGACGTAAATATCTCTATCATGAACGTACCTAATTCCTTCTTTGCTTAACACGAAAATGTTTAGAAAGACATCCGAAATAACACACATATTTAAGTTCTTCAACCATCACATTATCCGCATATAATTACTGTCTAGGTATTGCTAAGCAAAGGTATTCTCGAGAAGCTCGACCGGAGTGATACCACGGTCTCATAGAATACCGGCGTGAAACAACCACAGCGTTGTATTTCGCCGTGGGAGTGAGGTTACCGGTGGCCCAATCCCTCCCCTTCCCCTATCCCTTCGTAATCCTTATATCCGCAACCCCTATCCCCAAAAGGCCGGCAACGCACTCGTAACTCCTTTTGGTGTTGCGGGTGTCCATGTGTTGGCTCTTTGAGGCGCGCGCGGAACGCTACGAGCCGTACTTCTCGGGTCTGGTTCTGGTCAGGCAGCGAACTAACCTTACCTACTTGCTTGCTTACAGTGACCGGAGATCGACGTGCTAAGTACTCAGGTTAAATAGCCATTAAATGACTGTGAGTACGGCGGTATGTTTAGTTGGCAAACAAATAGATATTCTAGTTTAAACTTCCTTGTTAACTGACGAGAAACAATTCAAAGTCACATACCAAATACTTTTAACTAAACGATTGTACATAGTTATTGTCACACAAATATTTACAACAGACAGTGAATCAAGCTTCATCAAATAACTAGCTAGTCTCACGCGGTTTCATCCGTGCTCGGATTCATTTGATCGTAGCGTGATATTTTATAGCCTTTAGCACTCAGGAACAGTGAAAAATTTTGACAATCCGGTTCCAAAGAAACCAGTGGCAAAATTGGTTCAGGCGTTGTGGAGTTATGCGCTTACCAACACGTTTTGTGATTCATTTTTATATAAATGCACAATAGAATAGATTCAGATATCGTTTAATCTATTTAATATGATAAAGATGTAAAAATTTTAAGTTTGTAGGTTTTTTTTGTGAGGGGAAGATCATCGGGCGGGAGGGAGTGTCAGACTCTTACTGACTCAAAACCCCCCTGTTCCTTCTCCTGCTCTGGGCCGAGGTCGCGGTGCCTCATTGCGGCCCTATAGGGCTGATGTGCTGTGTTGTTGGGGTAAGCGCAATGAGGCATTGCGGCCTCGGCCTAAAGCAGGAACAGGGCGGTTTTTAGTCAGTAAGTGTCTGACACTCCCTCTCGCCTCACCTTGGGCGGGAGAAGTCATGTGACAGGAAGATGATGACGATACCTTGGTCAGCTATTCCTTCTTCATAATACCAGTCTTTCAACAGTATTCAATAACAATGTGACCCAATTATGATTCAGTATGTCTGTCTCCGTGGTCTGTCTGCCAACTCATAACCTTGTGCGTTCGAATCTGATTTTCATCTGTCAATAGGTAGTGCTGCTGTTTTCTGGTTTATATTTATTTATATTAGGTTAGTTAGTATAGGTATATAGTATGTTTTATGCCAGTTACTATTTTGTATAAGTAGGGTCAAGGATTGTTTTGTATTCAACCTTCTTTTTAAAACAAACTTTTTTTTAAAATTTGGAATGTTTGTTTTGGGAAATGGAATATTGCAAATTCATTTTGAAATAGATTATGTATCTTCAATCGGTTTAACTGAAGTATACTCGTTAAGTTTATATGACGATAAATATTAGGGTATACATATCATCATCATCATCAGCCTATATTACCATTATTCTGTATGACCTCTGAAAGTACGGAAATATCAAACGAAGCAAGACCAAAATAAAATAGTTTTTATGTTTCATTGTGTACGCATGTCTTTTATACAGTTTCTTGATATTACAATTGATACTATAGATTTACTTACAGAATATAATATTTTCTCTGGATTGTATAGTCTACGATGGAATGCCAAGAAAGTTTTCCATCTCATATATCCAATAATTATAATATATACTTGTATACTTTTAAGGTTACTCACCTAATAAAGAAAAATTAAAACTCCAAGTTTAATAAAAGGGGCTTTGTTATGGACATAGGTCTAAGTGTGGGAGGGACATTCATCATCATCATCAGCCTATAAGTGCCCACTGCTGAGCAAAGGCCTCTTCTCATACAGAGAAGGTTAGAGCATTAATCACCACGCTTGCTCAATGCGGGTTGGCGATTTCAAACTTAGTATAATTAGAAAGTATAAGTCCAGGTTTCCTCACGATGTTTACTTTCACCGTATGTCAGTGGTGTCTAAATAATTATAGAAAGTAGGTACATATAACTCGGATAAGGCACCGCCCTCACTGTGCTGGACCCGCAACCCCGGCAGTGCATAAAAGTATTACAGTTTGTAGGTATTATCAAAAATAAGCTTTCTCCGAAGCCATTTTGAGTGTAACGGACATAATGTGGTTCACAAAAACATGTTTTTTGTAAACATTACACGGAAAAATCGTGCTTAACGATTCCACTGTCACCGTTTATTTTGGGATTCGTAAGTGACGCAAGGAACGGACATCGGCTTTTAAATAAAACTATATTTTTAATGTCAAAAGATTTATTATTTAATTGTTTTATGATTAAATCTATAATCTATTGAATAAATTTGACAGTTTTACGTAGAATAATATCCTAAAATAAAGAAATAAAAAAGCGCCTGTTGTTTTAATGAATGCAATTATTTGCTGTCTGGTGACTAGTAGGCGCTTAGATGTATACATAATATTTTTATACTAATATTATAAAGAGGTAAAATTTGTAAGATTGTAAGTTTCTATATTTGTATGTAGGGGGTAATCTTTGGAACCGCTTGTCGGATTGCCAAAATTCTTTCACTGATAGATAGCTACAATGTTCCTGAGTGCTATAGGCTATAAAACATCACGCTACGATCTGTAGGAGCCGAGCAGCGGGTGAAACCGCGCGACACTAGCTAGTTTCTTATATTTATTGACGTTTTAAAAGATCGATTGAATACATATTTCATTATTGTTTTTGTATAATCACTACAAAGTATAAAACAAAGTGGCTCTGTAACCCTATGAAGGTACACATTCACATAAAACAAAGTGGCTCTGTAACCCTATGAAGGTACACATACTCACTTAAATCTTTTAAACTACGCAATTTTCATAGAATTTCATATGTTTTTTAATACATAGAGTAATTGAAGAATTATAAAAGTGAATAATAAAGCACACAAAATTAAACTGAACGCCATTTTGTAATCTTGACAAGACAAGAGCATTTCAGAATCGTTTGTAGTCGGTTGCTATTTATGTTTCGCGTAGGAGTTACCTGCTGGAGACCGAGTCGAAAAAATAGTTCGTCCCAAATATTTATATTGTCCTAAATATCTTGACGAGTTTGACGCGTGTATGTCTGTTGCATTTGCATCCTTAAAAACGAAAATATGATCACGGTAGGCATCTACACAGATATTAATTAGGAAGCTAGATGAAATACACCATAAAATTAATATTTTGTTCTTCCCTTAGTTGATATGACTTTAATCATACACGTCCTTGCAACGACAAATACATTAGAACTACTTAGAATTTTTATGATAGGTTATCAACCAATATAAAATGAACCCTGATTCAAAAAACTCTTCTTCCAGTGAAAGGTCAACTTGTAAAAGGACTGTAAAATGTGTTTTGGCACCGTATATATGACTAGATTAGTGGTATTAATATGCATTTTTCGTATTTCCAGCCAAAACCTATTAAATTAAAATATTACTTGTATCATGTGAATTATAATTTCGTTCGCAACGCAATTTTTGGCGCCTTTTCTAATGTCATTGTGACATTGACATATGTAATTGCTCGTCACGTTTTTTATCAGAATGCTATTTACCTATTCTGTAAAAAAAAGAAATGGTAGACTATTCCCAGACAAAATGCACGTAAAAAATATCTACTTGACATACATAATGCCGTGAATAAAAAAGTATTTAAGTATTTTATAGCCCTACTATAATCGTTTTATTTATTGTGTCAACAGACAATAAAATAGAGTCAGGTGTGCAAAATATCTTTATGTCACAATTCGAATTTTAAATTCAATCTTCGGGAGAATTTTATCTTAACTTTTTCTACGGTTTTTAACATTAAAACAAGCTGTACTTAATACCTACAGCTTGCCTGATGGCTAGCAATCACTGAAACATAAGAACAACAACGTACAAGGCAAGTTCAGAGATATCATAATATTAAGTTCCTTGTGAACTATGTAGAAAACTGTTTATTTTTTCATTATTATTGTACTATCATACCATTCGGGGAGGTCCTCAAACTGATGAACACAAATTAATAGTTGGCCTGACATTAACTTTGTACTTATTTATACTAAAAAATATATTAAAATCTGTTTTTTTTTTTGTTACAGGTATGACAGAATATCGAGTAAACGTCATATTCCTTTCCAAAAAAGCAATAGAACTTTTTAATAGAAATCAACAAATAAATAAAACGCATTTACATAAATAATAATATAAATCAATATTAGCAAGTAATTAATAAGCAATCGAAAATAAATGGCATTTCGACGAAAAATAGTTTGACAGTTTTAGTGTTAGTGCGAAAAATATATAATTGAATCGAGTGTGGCCGGGATACAAGGACAGAAGATGTCGCTAGTGGCACCTAGAAGGGTCCAACTTGATTGGGCGCCTTCGATAATACCATGGTAAGATTTTTTATAATACCTAATAATTATTTGTAATTGTAATTAGTAGGCTTACGAAAGTAGGTAGTGTCACAAGTCGACCAAGCAACCAGTATCGCACATTGACAATCGTAATACTAAAGGAGTTAGGTACTACAAGTGCTTTATCGGCCTCTTGTCGGATAGAAAATTTGAGGATTGAGGGCCTCCGGTAACCTCACTCACAACGTAAGTTGCTTGCTTTACGCTGCCTTTCTGTGAGGCCGTAGTGTCAATCCGATGCAGCCAGCCCAATCGTGTTTCACACAATGAAAATTTTATGGCTTATGGCGGCAAACGAGTAGCATGGTTGGTTGCGTTTGGGTAGCAATATAAAACAAGCGTTGTTTCACGCCGATTGCTTATAAAACTGTAGGTAACCTAGCTGTAAACTTCTCTAACCTGAGAATAAGGTCAAAGTCATTTAAGGGACACCTATTCATTCGATATATTTTCTCCAACGTAGCGCCATCTGTTCAAAGATTTGTGCTAATAAGAACAACAAGGCTGAATGTAGTTGATTGCCTTTGCCTGAAGTTCCTGGCGTTATTTATTACCTTTCATTAGAGTTACGGTAACTGTCAAAATTACAGATAGATGGCAGCTGTAGTTAGTTGCTGATGAATATTTTTTTCTATTTTCTGATACACACATAATGTAGGTTTGTTGACAGTGGGACAATATTGGAAGATTAGTACTTATGTATACATAAATGGCTATCAAATCTTTCCATAACTTCTGCCGTTTTTGATGGGACGAGAAGAAGTGTCAGACTCTTACTGACCATAAACCATCCTGTTCCTTCTCCTGCTTCACATCATTGTGATTGCACCCACAACCCCAGCTGGATACAGACCTTAGTGGTCCTGTTCGTCTGATGGCTAATTGTACCTGTTGATGAACGTTTTTTTTTGTGAGAGTAAAATCGTCAAATGGCTTCTCTCGTCTAAGGTGAGGTCAGAGGGAGTGTCAGACTCTTACTGACTAAAACCTCCCCGTTCCATCTTCTGCTTTAAGCCGAGGCCGCGGTACATTATTACGGTAGCCCCGCAAACCTGTTGAGCTACCTACGTCGTGGTTTCAACATCGATGTCCCATCATCATCATCATCATCATTATTGTCAGTGAGCCATGATATCCACTGCGAACTACAGAACTCCCCCAATGACTTCTAGAAACGTAATATGTACGTAAAGATTTTTAGTAATGTGGGAAAGTCATACTTCGGCACGAGTGAGCCAGTTCGACCGGAGTGATACCAAGACCTCACAGAATAATGGCGTGAAACACACTCAGCCACATCCTCCCTCTTAAATTTCTTATATCCTTCGGTCCTATGAAGTTCCATGATTAGGTACCGATTGCTTACCATCAGACAGATGACCTTCCACCTCGTTTGCCGAACTTTCTCATAAAAAGAAACTAAGAGAAATCTATCAGAAAAATACTACCAATACAAATAGCCTAATTCCCCGGCTATCGGTACTTAGGTATTAAAATGTAGGTCAAGGTTTACCTAGATACCTATATTTGGGCCCTGGACATGCGCATTACACTCTTAGCCGATCAGCTCAGTAAACTTCGCAAAAAGCTATTTGTTCAGAAGACTGTAAATGATTCTGATCTAATTTTTGTGGCAATCAAGCTAAAATTGCCCTTATTGCAAAGGGAATTTGTTTGAATTATATTGTAGGTTAGAGTCTTTTAAGCCTTTTAGGCCCATTTGACATAATAAGCTTTTTTCAATTTTTGGGATGAAGGTATTCTTTCTGTAATGCCTGCTATAAGTGAAGGAATTGATTTATCACACAATTTTATCGTTTAAATAAAAAAAAATCGTATAGGTAATATAAAAACTACAAATTCTCAACTTTTTTCTATATAATGAGGGTTAAGTACCTATAAAAAAAAATAACATTCCATTACAGTGACAATACGGACCTAGGTAAGCAGTAGTAAAATGTTTATCACTAAACAAGGAAACAAGTTCCTTTTGTAATTACGGACATTTTTGTTTATTTTGTTGTCTGGAGAAACAAAAAAGTACTTATGTAATAATATCTTCTATAAAACCTACCTACGATAAATAAAGCTTAAAAATTAAAACTTAGAAAGCTCACACAACTAACTTTAAAGTGCATTGCAGAAAAATTTCCAGCAAATGTCACCTGATAATCATACATTGCACTACTCGTGTCATACTTATGCGGAACCCTAATTTTACACCGCATAGGTCACTAACCTCCTTACACCGATACCGGCTCACTTCACTGCGTCAACCAGAAAAAAAAACTTGTCCGTCAGCTGAGCGACCGCGGCTCACTTCATTTAGTTGAAAATGTATCTGTCATGGCTACGCGATCGATGCTAGTCCCCAGTTAAAAATTACTGGAAAACATAAAAAATATGTCGCGAAAACCGCTGAAGGACGTCGCTAGCGCCTTCGCGAAACTGTAATATTTTTATTTAGCGTATCGGTACAGTAGTAAAGTGTTTATTGTGTGAATTTCGAGCGTATCTAAATTTGTTCCTTGTCAGACGGGATCAGTCGTGAAAATTTTCACGGTGAGTATTTGTGTTTTTTTTCCACACTCGCATGTGCGTAGGCGGTCATTATAAAAGACAGCAATGTGTTTTATTTGTAAATACGTGTATTTTTTGGGGAAAAATGTCTGTAGCTTGAATAAAAATCGATTATAAGTGGGTGGGATTGCTGGGACCTGTCCCTGTCTCGCTTGTGTATAATCCGGCTGCGTGTGAAAGTGACGTAACGATGCGACGTCTGCATCGCGTCGCAGTCTATTCAATTCGGTCGGATAACCATATCTGTTCCTTTCTAACGTAATGTCTTATTAATTTTAGTTATTTTTTTCGGGATTCTTTCTTAGTTTTCTAAGTAAAACTCAAATGAATCACGTTACGAATAGATTATAGAGGAGTTTGCGCGTCATTCGGGATATACAGACGGACAGTTTACTTCATAAATACCGTTGTATTTAATCGATAATGAGTGGTGTTCCTATAATCGCACGAAACTCCCGTAAGAGCGAAAGTTGCGTGTTCTATATTTTTAATATTGGAAAATGTCGCGAGTGCAAAAAGTAATAAACTGTAAATAGTTTTGGCGACGGAATTAATTAATTTTGCGGTGAAGGAGTGTCGTGTATCACAGGTGCGCCTTTTCACCCTTGTTTAACCCCGTATTAATAACAATAAACCGTCTGATTAGATTCCGATACAAGTTGTTCTACCTAAAGGCTGTTTAAATAACTTGCCTTGTCCATTCAGATTGTAATCGAGAATTTATTGAATGTCAAAGTGAAAAATCATAGCATATAATAGTTTTAATCTGTAATATAAAAAAAAAGTTTTTGTAGAATATTATTTTTAAATCAGAACTTCATACCTACCTTTATATTATGAGGCTTGTACAAGGAAGCGATTATAATTTTTTTCATGTATATTTTTTGCTAGTTATGTAGCAAGCAAAGTTTTTCTGACAATTGAAATCAAATTATAGTATTACATAAATATTTGAGTAAGACAAGGGCAGTTTTTATCTCTTAATAAAATGGATGTGTTTTTTGATAAACTAAGGTTACAAGGTGACTGCAGTAATCTCTGCTAAGTATAGAGCTTAAAAAACAAACCCTGTAACCTTTTTTTTAGTTTACACTATATTTTTTTTTCTTTTGATGTGATATGCCAGAATTGTGAGTCACTGCTTGTCTTTTTCAGTTCAAATTGTTTTGACACAAATATAATTTTTAGTTTTAAAATCAAATCATTAGTTTTCACTGTCTGTGAGCAGATGGAATGAACATTACTAGTTATTTGCAATTGTGAGATGGGAACATTGACATGATATTCTAAAATAAGTATCTAGCAACCCTGGATGGCTTCGCTTGGGTGCTTTGATGGTAGTTACTGAATTTCTCCACTATTTAATAGATGTTATTATACATAGTATAAACCTTCCTCTTCAATCACTCTATCTATTAAAAATACTGCATCAAAATCTGTTGCATATTTTAGAAAAAAGGGACTCTATTTTATACTTTGTAGTGATAAGGCAATACTTTTACCATCTTCTAGGATTTTCCCTTGCTCCTTGATTAGATTAAACCCTTTTTTCTTCACTTTTACTAGGTTTTAATAAATTTATGTTGTATGTAGAAAATGAAAATCTGTTACAATTATTTCTCTAAATGTGTAGTGCCAGTCATTGCTGTATCATATTCAGCCTTAAAACATCCATTCCTCTGTGTCTGAAGTGGTTTCTTATAGTCCGCTTTGAAAATCAAACTGTTATTTTCACATTACTACATTACATACATTAATTCAATTCAATATTGTGTAATAAATGTGAAGACATTGTATGAAATATAACATCAAAATTAATGAGACAACCCACGGTACAATTGTAAAAAAAAATAGCTATGAAGGATTGTTTTTAAGCCTTTGACTGCCGACAAAAAACTGTTGAAGGCAAATCCTCCGCTAACGGAGGTCACCGGTGACCCCCATGGCGCTTAACGTGTTAATTAGAAATCTAAATGATCACCATAGATTATTTATTTAAAAAAATATTTACCTTTTATTGCACACATTACTAATCTTAAAAGAGCAGACTGTTCCATGGGCAATTCATTCATACAGGGTGATTAAAAAATATGATATTCTTCGATAATTTATTTCTGTTAACAGATATAAACCAACTGGGATATCGTATAAATCTTACGGATAAACGGTGTAGTCACATGAACACATAAATCATACCTCTAGTTTATTATAAAAATAAAATTTTATCTTTGCATTTAAAACGAGGAAAATTTGTGTTTAAAACTAATTCAATCTCTTTATTTTTTTGGTATCTCAAATCAATAGCATTGTTTTCAGTCATTGTATATGTGCCTACTGCTGAGCAAAGGCCTTTTTTCACACGGAGAAGTTTTGAGCAATAATCTTTACGCTTGCTCAAT